CCGCGCGCGACCTGCCCGGGCGGGCCGGGCTCGCGGCCCGTCGCCTAGGTTACCCTGCCGGTGCTGACAGCCGCTGCGGGCCGCGCTTGCCATTGGCTGCGCGGGCGCGAGGGGCGGGAGCGGCCGGGCCGCGCCGCCAATGGGGAGACGCGTGCGCGGTGCGTGCCGGGCCGTACCGTACCGTACCGTGCCGAGCCGGGCCGTGCTGGGCCGGGCCGGGCTGCGCCGCCATGCCGGGCGGCGCGGGGAGCGGCGCGGAGCTCTCGGAGCAGATGGAGGCGTTCGTGTCGCGGCTGCGGGGCGGCGGGCAGCGCCCGCGCTCCGAGGACACCGCGAGGCAGACGCTGGCGCTGCTGCGGAGGATCGTGGCGCACGGGCGGTGGGGCCGCGCCGGTGAGCGCGGGGGCCGCTCCGGGCGGGCTGCGCCTCGCGCGGGGCCTCGGGCCTCCCCTGGGCGCCGCGCTCCCGTCCCGCCGGCGCCCGGGCGGGCTGCTGGCCCCGGGGCCGCCCGGAGCTGAGCAAGGCCCCCGTCCCTCCTAGGGGAGCTCATGGAGCTGATCCGGACGGAGGGCCGGCGGATGACGGCGGCGCAGCCGTGCGAGACCACCGTGGGCAACATGGTGCGGCGGGTGCTGAAGATCGTCCGCGAGGAGTACGGCCGGTGAGCGCCCCGACAGCGGGATGCAGCGAGGGAAACGGCAGGAAAGAGCAGCGGGAACGGCAGCCTTTGGAGCCGCTGGTGCCGCTTCCTCCAGCGAAGCTCCCCTTGAGCTGCTGCTGCGGCCGTGCGAGCCCCGCTCTGCCCTGCGTGTGCTCTGGCCTCGGGCTGTGCTCTCCTTGCCCCTTCCCCTGGAGCAGCAGCTCTGAGCCCCGCGCTTCCCGTGCCCCTGCGGCTCTCAGGGTTTCTGATCTAGGAAAAGTGCTCCCTGGCAAAGCTCGGGCTCTCTCTCTGCTGCAGAAGGCAGCTAGGGAAGCTGTTGGGCACAGCGTGGCTCCTGCCTGCACCCGTCCTTCCTCCGCGCGCACATCCAGGCGTCCCGGCAGCGAGGGACACCAGTCCCCATGGCCGTGGTGCCCACGCGCTCCCCGCCTGCTCTCAAGGGCTCTGTCTCTCCGCAGGCTTCACGGGCGCAGCGAAGAGAGCGACCAGCAGGAATCACTGCACAAACTTCTGACCTCGGGAGGGCCCAGCGACGACTTCACCACCCCTTATCCTCTCCTCAGAGCTAACGTTATTGAAGCTATTAACGAGCTGCTCATAGAGCTGGGTAAGGGATGCACTGAGGCTTCTCTCTGCTCTTCCCTGGCAAGAAACCAGTAACGGCTTAGCCCAAAGGAAGGGGGGCAAGGTGCATGTGCTGGGGGCAGCAGGCCCTGAGGGAAGGGGGAGGAGGGGCTGCCTGTGCTGTTGATTGTCTGAGTAGCCTTGACTTGAGCCCTGTGAGGAAGAATATCAAAACTCCACCAGGGTCCTGTGAGCTCATCAGACCTTTGTGCAGAAAACACTGGTTTGTTTTCCTTTTTCTGCAGCCTTTAAACAGATCAGGAGCCCAGGCCTCCTTCTGATGCCTGTGGTGCCCAGCATCTCCTCCTGTAATTGTAAGTGCTGTTCAGCTCTGAGCTCTGTGGACTTTGTCACTAGTTTTGCTGTGGGCATACTGGCTCTTAGTGTTGACCTGATCTATACCACTGATGAAGTTCTGGCACACACGCATTTTTCCTGAGTAGCTGAGGGACACAGGACAGCTTGGAGACAGCTTCCCAGCCAGCCTTCACAGGCAAAATGAGCAGGAGCTAAAGCTGCTCTTGCTCTCCCAGTGTCTGTAGTGTTGCTTTAGTGCAAACGGATGCTGCTGGAGGAGAGCCTTCAGTGCACGAGAACTGCTTTTCCCAAATCATCTTGTAGTCCCATAAGAGGCAGGGCGCTAACGTGCGCTCCGAGGGGATCCAGGGCATCCATGCGGTGCCCTCTGCTCAGCTGGCATCTCCTGGAGCTCGGCAGAGCTGTGGGGCCTGCCCACCTCTCACCGGTGGCCTCCTTCCCTTGCAGAGGGCACCACCGACAACATCGCCATGCAGGCGCTGGAGCACATCCACTCCAATGAAGTGATCATGACCGTGGGCTACTCGCGCACCGTGGAGGCCTTCCTGAAGGAGGCCGCCCGCAAGCGCAAGTTCCAGGTCATCGTGGCCGAGTGCGCGCCTTTCTGCCAGGTAGGAGCCGGCCGGCCCCGAGGGGCCCCGAGCCCTCCAGCGGCTGTGTCCCTGGGGAACACACACACACACACACACACACACACACACACACGCCAGGGCCCTTTGCAAGAGCAGGTTTCTCAGCAGCCAAGAGAGGAAGGACAGCTCCTCATCCTTCAGGGCACAGCTGTATTTGTGTTCTCTCACTTGATATTTTGTAGCTCAGGGAGAAATTGTTAGTATCTCTGCAGCTACAATGTAAAAAGTTGTGTTGCCAGGTACTGACTGTATTTCCGCTCTTTCCAGGGCCATGAAATGGCTGTCAAACTAGCTAAAGAGAACATTGAAACTACTGTCATGAGCGATGCTGCTATTTTTGCTGTCATGTCTCGAGTCAACAAGGTAAGGAGGACTTAGCTGGCGGAGAGAGTTAACCTCAGGCTTCGTGCTTAGGCCTCCCAAGAGCAGTGGTAGTTCCCAGTGGTGGTAGCTGTATTTCTTCATTGAAGATTCAAAATTGTAACCATCCCCGTTTACAGAGATGGGGGAGCCTCGGTGTATGAGCCCGAATTGGTGTGTGATGACTAAGGATGTAGGTTTTGATGAGTTAGGATGTTTTCTGCTGTTTCTCTGCTGCAGTGGCAAATGGCCAGAACAGTTACAGGAAAGTCAGGGGATCCTCAAAAGGTTATTGTCAGACTGCTCAAGAACCATGCTGGAGTTGTGCTCTTGTTGGACAGCAATGTCTTAGTGCAGAGCCAGGGCCAGATGAACGGGGTCAGTCATCCAAAAGTCCTACTACAGCTCCTAGCCTTCAGCTTTCTGACACTCCTTCAATTCATCCAGTATTTTCCAAGCCAGGAATCTTCCCCTCCTCCTTGCCAGCCTGCTCTCTAACGCCGCTTTACCTTTGAAGGTGATCATCGGCACCAAGACCATTCTGGCGAACGGCGCGCTCATCGCTGTGAGTGGCACTCACACGCTGGCTCTGGCAGCCAAGCACCACTCCACTCCGCTCATCGTGTGTGCCCCCATGTTCAAGCTCTCCCCCCAGGTAAGCACAGCAGCTTCTCAGTGCGGGGACAGGGTGGGCAGGGGAGTAAGTTGCTGTTCACGGATACTCAGGGTGGACAGCACCATCTGCCCAGAGGCCAGGATAGCACCTGGGCCATCCCTCCAAAGCTGTTACTCCAACTTGGAAACCCTTGTCCAAATGTGGTACCTCTCAGGACCTCTTTAAAGCTCTCCCCACTATTCTAGGTTCCTTCATCCAGTAAAAACTGACAAATGTGCTGAATTGCTGGTGTGTGGTAGACGTTGGTCTCTGTTGTTAAACGCCAGAGATGCATATCTCCATATTTATTTTTCTTTAAACATTACAGATTTTAATTCCCACTGTAAATGGTGGGAGGCTGTCTTTCCCCATGGAGAAGGCAGAAGACGCTCTCCAGCATCGCAGCACTCCCTCTTTTTTCAATAGTGCATCAGATAGAGATGCAGGCTGAGAAAGGCGCCTCTGTGCTCTGGTTCATCGGGCTCTACAGCAGAACAGCCGGGATGTAGGAGATTGTAAAGGCCTTGAGAAAAGCTGCCTTCCCCCTACAGATGTTGCACAGGCTCTGTACACAAGCAGCATCTGTTTATTATAAGCTGAGCAGCAGTGTCTCCTGTCTTTCTCCGCTGCTCTTGTTCCAACACACAGGATCTGTTTTCATTAGGATAATGAGATGGTCTCTGTTTTCCTCATCCTTCTGTCCTCTCTTATCTCTTTCAGTTCCCTAATGAAGAAGATTCATTCCACAAGTTTGTGTCACCTCAAGAAGTGCTGCCGTTCACAGAAGGTATTAGTGCTTCCTTACACTGGAAGGTGGCCGCGCTGCTCTAGGCAGCAGATGTTTGCTTGGCTGGTTTGTTTGTTTGTTTTATAGCTGACACAAAACTTAAAGATAAGCCTATCCTGTAACCATGCACCTCTACACAGACCACCTGTGACTGGCCTGTAACCAAAGACAGAAAATCCTTTCTTGTTCTCCTAAGCATAAAAAAGGGCTAGGAACCATCCTATTTCATCCGTATTTTTCTGGGAATCCCCAAAACAAAGGAATTTTCTTTAAATACTATCTTTGCAGTTTTGCTATGTCTCTGTTATATTCCACATCTTATTACAGGATTGTGATAATGATGCGGAGGGGGAGGGGGGGTTAATTTTCCCCCCTGCAAGACAAACAGCACGCACACCACTCACAGGCAGCTTGTGTTCCAAACCACAACGTGTGTTTTGGGAAGCTGCTTTAAACATTTTCACTCGAGCTACTTGCTGAAACTCCCTCTGGAATGGGCTTCCTACACAAGCATCTCTAGAAATGTGGCAGCTCCCAAACCTGTTTTCATGGAGCAATCTCCTTTTCACAGCCGTGTTCATATGTGACAGACTTCTGTAATGAGTATGTCAGGTTTGACTCAAGTTTTCGTTTCTGACATTCTGAATTTAATTTAAATAAAGCATCGGGATTCTTGTATCCTAATTTTATGCTGGTAAGTTGTCTGTGAACCTAAATCTAAAGGGATTGGGGATTACTATTAGTTCAGACTATCAAAAGAGACTGCTGGCAGCAATTCAAGATTGCTGTATACCTGTAATTCAAATGCATCGAGTGAGAAAGTTGGAAAGGATTCAGGCCATCGCAGCACTAACTTGAGTGGCACATATAGAGAGGCAGCTTCTTGAGGGGCTCAGGAAGACATGCAGAGAGCCTTTATCTCCCTTTGTTTGTTTCACTGTCTGATACTGATGTTGTTCACTTTCCAGGGGAGATCCTGGCAAAGATCAACGTTCACTGCCCGGTGTTTGACTACGTCCCTCCAGAGCTCATTACTCTCTTCATTTCTAACATTGGGGGTAATGCACCTTCCTATATCTACCGCCTCTTGAGCGAGCTCTACCATCCAGACGACTATGAACTCTGAATTAATGCCTGGAAGCAAGTCGCTGTCCAGACTTTTCCTATCTCGAGGAAGATACAACAGCTAATTAAAGCGGATGCTGCAAAGATGGGCTGCTGTTCAGCAGAGGGAAATCTGCCCAGTGCAGTGTCTCCTATCCAAAAGCAACAGACAGCAGAGCTCTTGCATGGGTTTTAATCTCTCTCCTGTGTTACAAGCCCCATGGAGCTGCTGCTACGTTTTGCTTTTGAAGCAGCAAGGCATACCTGTAATTTTCTGGGAAAGCCAAGCTCTTACTTCATAGTGTGCTGCAATAAAGGCTGTTTACAGTGATGTCACTGTTTAGCATGTTTTCTATATACAGCTAATTTGTTTAACTAGCAGGAGGTTTACCAGCGTACTGAGTTGCCTGCACGTACACTGCAATAACAGGCTTTATTTAAGATCTGCTCTCAGCTCTAAGTGGGATGGCAGTGCTCTTAAACAGTTCCCTTTAGAGGAGTTCTCTGATAATTTTTGGTGGAGTTACTGAAATACAAACGGGCTTTTTGTATAACGCTGGAACAGAAATTCCGTTCTTGATGGAAAACAGACCTCTGAAGCTCTCATCAACTAGCTTGTTTACCACTGGGTATAAGGCAGAGCTCAAATTCTTGCTTCTTGAAGTCCAAGGGTCTTCTGCTACCAAACGGCTATGGTTACTGAGCTACTTCTCCTTAGGCAGACTTCTTTCAGTGTGAAAGTTGTTGCTCTTTCTAAAGCGTAGAATGGAAAATCTTCAAAATCTGAAGCTCTTACTAGCTGGCAACAGCACTTTTTTGTCCCTTTTATCAGTGCAGAGAGCACTACCCTTGGCATTTAAGGAAGAAAAAAATGGTTTCCACTCCTTTTCTTTTTGATTTAGCAAATGTTGTGAGTGGATTTGTCTTTAAGATTTTAATGTAAAATGAGGATCTCTGTGACTAAACAAAGAATTTTCTCTACTGTTCTGCTGTCAACTCCTCTGCAGCTTACACTGAGAAACAAAATTGAATGGATATCTGTGAAAAGGTCTACTTTGTTTAAAGAAAAGTCCTGGCGTCTTCAGTTATCTTAGAGGCAAGTTTCTATACCCTAAGAAAGTAGACTTGTACTAGGAATTAAAAATCTCTTACTGAAGAATGAAAAGTGGAGGGAGGCTGAGAAGAGCTGGGTGTGTCATTCACTGCCTAGCTAAATAAGAGGGTTTTCTTTTTAATGCTCAGTTTGCCTCTGTAAGTGATGAAGCTGGTCAGTCCTCATTCCACCCACTGCCATGAGCCCGAGGAAAGAGCTTCGCATTAATTTTATTAATAAATACCTCTCCGTTTTCAAAACACTGACTATACATTAATTATAAATATCCTATTATGCAAAGTCCTGCTGGGGTAGCTGAGGAAAAGCACTTCAGTACCTGGAAGTGGCTGCAGCTTCTTGCCTTGGGTAGCCCAGCACTGACCTAAGGCCCCGCTTTCCGTGCGCTTCCTGAACAGCGGAGCCGCTTCTCCTGGCTGCCCGGGCAGGCTGCTTTTCCCCGGCCTCCCGGCTGCTCTGTGCTTTGTAGCCCAGTGCTCTGGGCAGAACCTCTGTGGAGCCAAGTTTCTCGTCCAGTGCCATAGGCCAAGTCAGTGCTCTCCAGCTGGGAACTTGGCATCGTATCAGCGCATTTGGTGGTTGGGCTTTACAGCGTTCGCTGCTTTAGTTAGGTTCTTTTTTTTTTCCCCAAATAAGTGCCATGCACGTGCCATTTTCCTCAGTCTGGCCAAATTAGGTTTAGGCTGGAGGGAAAAAAAGATTATCATAACTAAGTAAAAGGACTCCAACGTGTCCATAATATTTGCAGACATTCCCAATTTTTTCCATGTCTAATTCCAAATTCTATCCTGACTTCAATCAGAAGCTAGTTTCACAATTTAATACAGCATAGTGATAACGAGGGTAATAGGATGCCTTTTTAATTTTATTATTCCTTAGATTTTTGTCATGGTTTTATGCCATCTCGAACTTCAGGGAAGTAGATGTTTGTTTAGTTATTAGTGGCAGAATATCAGCATTTACATGTTTTCCAAGTTTTACTGTTAAAATATGCAAGGACTTTAAATAAACACATAACTAAGTACCAGTAGAACCCATTCAAGCTAATGTGATGGTTCAAAGGAAAGATGGTATGACTCTTGCTAAAATATTTGCAGAACAGAAGTTTCATTTTCTATTTTTTATTTCACTAGCAACAACTATGTAAAAAAACTCATATAAAATAGTCAGTAATGGTACTTTTTAATCAGTCCACTTTAATTCTGCCACACTTATATGATACACCTCTGAGAAAATGAGGTGCTCCATCCAGTACCTGCTTTTCCTCCTGGAGATGGTCTATGTCTGCAAGGGGCATCATGGAAGGTCTCCCGTGAGCACACTGGAAGGGCAGCTGGCACGATGACAAAGCTTCAATGAGCTGACAGCTCTCCTCCAAAGTCAAACTGTCATTAAACTTAATAGCCCCTGGAACAAGAGACAAGTCCTTGCGTGTTCCTGTCAGTGAGAATTCAAACCAGCAGCAAATTCCCCTCCGCAGCTCTTGCCTATGGAGGGAGGAGGGCAGCTCCCCGAGACCACACGATAGTAGCAAAGGCTGCAGGGTGCCCAGCCAAGGGCTTAGCTCAATTAACCAGCCTGCTGCATAACGAGCAGCTTTCCAGAGCCCAAGTTGCTTCACCTACCCCAAGGCTGATGGATGGCAGGCTTATTAGCTTTTGGCTTTTCAGGTAATCTTACAGGAGGGAAAACAACTTTTTTTTTTTTTTTTTTTTTAATTTAGGGATGAAGACACAACCTATAAACAAATGAGAAGGCTTTAAAACAAAAAGACAGCTAATATTGGTTTTAAAGGATTTATTGGTTTTAAAACCAAATGCCAGCCCTTGCCTACATCCTTTACTGCAAATAGGTGCCAAGGGCATCTAGACGAAAATCCAAATGGAACATTAAGGAGACATTTCAAAGGTGTCTGCAGTTTTTAGCCTTCACAGACGCACAGGACTCTGCAGTTGGTATCCTGCCTTTTCGTCATCTAACTTCTTTAAGTACGAAAAGCTTTATATACCATCTGCCATTTGTAGAAGGCAGTGATAGTTCACGAAAACAAATGCTTTGGGGTCATGTTTCCCTTTCAGCATGAGCTTGTAATATGACTGCAATACAATATATGGCACAGAAAAATGCTAGCGCTCCTGCAGTCTGCACCTGTAAGACTTGCTTATTTTGAGGTTTAGGGAAACCATCGATCTTTGGAAGACATATTAACTCCTACAGCAAGATATCCAGAAATGCTGTCAAGGTCAGTGAAGCACTTAAACCAGTCTTTTGCATCAGCATTTTTGGCACTTAAAATTTTTTTTTGAATGTTTTGGAGAAGATGTTTTAAAATCTTCTCTGCTAGTTTTCAAACAGTTCCTAGCACCTCCTTCTGCTCCTTCACAGAACTGTAATTTGAATGGTTTACATGGAAGAGTGCGTTTCAGAGCTGTATTCTGCCAGTGCTTAAAGTGTGGGTAGGAATCAACTTGGACTCATACAGGAACAAATCAATGCAGCGTTGACTGTCCCTTACAGCGCTGTCCAGCAAATGACCACTTTCTTCACATGCCTATGAAAAACACACAGTCTGTAATCCTGGAATAGCTGCAAGCACATTCTGAAACTGCTGCCCCAGGGGGCGTATTGTATAGAGACCTTTTTTTTTTTTAAAAGGAAAGAAAAACAAAACATTCCCTACCATGACACGCTTGGGAAGCTAACACCTTCAGAAATGTCAGAGGCAGTGTCCCTCGTGCTCCTCCTGTGGTCTGCACTAGCTAAAAGTAGCAAGAAAACATGATCTTAGTTTCTATTTAATGTGAAAAAAAAAAGAAAAAAAAAAAAAAACTGTAACACTACAGGAACTAAAAAATGAGGATAAGCTAGATTATGTAGCCCACATCTCTTAACTGTTGAAGTCTGATGTTTACCACCACAGTTACCCCCTGGCTCATGCACTGGGCTCTCCATTATTTCAGGCAACTTTAGAAGCAGACAGCAACTCACCTCAACTTGTTCTTGAATAAACTCCTGGAAAGCAAAAGGCAAAATAATCAATTGCTGTTCTCACCCATTCCTTCCCCCAAGACACTTCTTTGTGCACATCTGTGTATATTTATTGTGTAAATGCTGGATATTCCACAGGATGGATAGAGCAGTAGCTACACATTGACCCCACAGGGACTTTTTCACAAATTGTGAAAGATGGGCAAGTTCTGCCCTCTCACAAGTATCTTGCTTGACTTTGGGCAAATCACTTGATTTCTCTCTGCATCAGTTTGTTACCTATAAACTGAGTAAAATGCTTTCTATCAGAAGAGACCTACGGCAAGACAGGCCTGATTCACAGTGGCTCAGCCTAGTGGCTGCATCTGGTACTCCAGAAGCTAGTTTTAAGAAAGAGCCCTTAAAGCAGTTAGAGAAAGCAATCAGTGAAGGAAACAGCAGCTTTTAGAAACCTGAACTGTACATGTAGATATTTCACCAAAAACAACCCTAATCAATAATATTAGCACATCAGCAATACTATTTTATTGTTGGTCCAAGCATTCAGGAAAGATGAGCAGTGAATTGATAAAACATCTGCGCTGTGCCTCCCTATTCCCTACTCCACGTCTGCAATGGACTCCAGTCATTTATTTTCTAGTTAGGGGATTTAAGTTATGTGGGTTTTGGCAGAGATATATTTTGCTATTAATGGGGATGGCATCCATGCCTGGAGAGAGACTTCTTTGTCTCTCTCATAAAACAACACTGACCTGCACAATGCTCTTAGCGACGGGCTGTCTTTTCCGTCGTAACTCATTGGCCTCTCTTTCTATAAAACACAGTGGCACCTTCCCCACAAGAATCAAGGAGTGGTTGGTCTCGGGAAATGATAATTCAAGGCCTAAATCCTCCAAGTTTTTGTGGCAGCATCTGTTAAAACAAAACAAAAAGAAAAGATGTAAGACATGAGGCCACCTACCTCTCCACAGCTACCTCCTTGCAAAATATTTCTGCAGTCTCTGTGTATGTTTCTTCCTGCCACACTCCACATCAATGCCATGTGAGATTGCAAGTATTGTGGCCTTTTCAGCCTACATTCACCTACATTTTTCACCCCAATCCATCATGTATACTGCATACGACAAGGTCTAACATTTCATTTATTATGCCAAGAGAAGCTTTATATTTAAAGCTATCTTTTTTTTTTTTTTTTTTGCTAAGGATACAAAAGGTGTCTGGATCCTGTAAACTTTGCTGAAATATTATATATGAACACATACTTCATCTAATACAATTGTATGGGATAAGACTCCTTTAAGTCTAGCCTAAAATTTGTCACTTCAATTGAGAAATAATAGCAAATGCTTACAATAGAAAAAATACTGTAAGAGATTTATGCTGATAAAGGGATTTAAAGCAAGGAGAGCCCAGAAAAGAACACCCTCTAATCAATGAGACATATTTTATCCTGTAGATGGAAAAATACAAGAACTGAACATGAGAGTAAGATGGAAACTTGTCATCAAAATGAAAGAGAAGGAATTGCCAGCTATCATCAACAATAGTAGATAACAACTCTAATAATATATAGTTTATTTATTTTAACTTAGGGAAGTTTCACTCAAAAATGGACAGGGAAAATTTGTTTTTAGAAAAGAGATTACTGGAACAAAAAAAAAGAACCTAGTTTTAAAAAATGAAAATCCATTATTGAGGATAATAAAATTAAGCTCCACATGGAGGTGACTTGTGTAATCCTAACAAAAGCGAAGGAGACATGTATAGCCTTAGGCAAGAGAGGAGAAAAGCAGAAAAAAAATCAGTTACATGACAGAATCCATGGAGCTATTGAAGTCACTGAGGTCATTTTCCAAGAAAAAAAAAAAAGGGAGAAAAAAAAAGAAAAAAAAAAAGGAAATCAAGTTCCCAAGAGAAAACAAAACAAGGCATAATCTACAATGCTTAGTAAACTCAGCAGCAATTAGCTGGACAAATAGTCCAATATCCAAAACAAACACCAGAACCAAGAGAGTGGCAGGTGAATCAGAGGGCCAACTGAACTATTAAATAGTAAACACATTGAAGAGAAAGGTTTTTCAGGAAAGTTGAATTGTTTCATTACATCAGCCTTCAGCACAGAATAGTCTTGTTCTTCGAGAAAGAGTAACAATATTTTTCAGTCTTAAACAATGCTTTTAATTAGGAACACTTTAGTAAGGATTGTCAAGAGAAGAACAACCAAGGAGTCTGTGCTAGCTCTACACAGCAAGCACCACTAAGCTAGCATCAGTATGTGCAAATACCAAGAAACTTTTTGAATCAATTAAGAGGTAATGATGAAACACTAAGGGGGCTCCCCACTGTGCTGACTAGTTTAGTCATCGTCCATCAAAGTCATGCAGTCATGCCTACTTTCTTTTTTTTTTTTTTTTGGTGAAATAGTTGATTTAGAAAAGGAGCTTGCAGAATTATTTCAGCTTTCAAAAAGCCTTTGATGCAGCCTCATAAAAGTGACTGGAAATGTAAATAGTTGTCATGGACAGAGAAATTTGTCATAAGCTAGAGACAAGACAGAAACAGAGAGTACACTGGCAATAGATGGTCAGTCTCCAGCTCTGTATCTTCAAAATTGTTTATTAATGATGTGGGAAAGAAGGACGACAGTAAAGCAACCAAAATCGTACAAAACACAGAATTATTTAGGTTGCTTGAAACTAAAAAAAACATGTTCAACTTACTCAGAAGTAACAAAAGTAGAAAGTGAAGAATGAAATCAGTATAATGAATAAAAAAAAGTATTATTAAAAATGGGCAGAAAATGAAATTTACTGCTCCTAAAGGCAAATCAAAGCTTATTAGAAGAAATAAATTGATCTATTTGTACATTTTGGTACATGATGTGCTGCTTAATGTAAAGTCACAAACTCAAAACTATCCCTATGTTTTGTTGTCATGACAGTTCTTTCAAACACTGTCTCAGCAAGTAACTGCAGTGAAAAAATATTAGGTGTAGAAATGGTGAGAACATTCCCAAATTTAGAAACAACTGTAAAGCTACTGTATAAATCAATGAGATTCTCTCACTTGGTATATGATATTCTGTTTCAGCCACCCAATCTCAAAAATAGCTAAAAACAAATCAAAGACATTCAAAGGCAAGCGGAAAAAAAAAAATAAAAATAAAAAGGTGCTACATTACAAGTATCCTACACTTTCCTTTGCAGTTTTTGGTATTGGTGAATGTCACACTAAAGAATTACGAAATGGATACAACAGTGATACTCTTACAATTGTAACACATCCAAAAAGGGACTGGCAGGCCCCAAAACCAAAAAAGTATATCCCTAAAATAGGCATTGATCTTAATGAGAAGTCATTTTAAATCTGTTGAGTTTGCCACAGGCATCACAGAAAAGAGGACTTCTAAAGAGGAACTAGAAGTGAGGTGGTCTTGTGAGTGTTGATGGAGAACTTCCTCTGATCATGAGGAATAATGCAGGGAAAAACACAAATGCGGGGGCAGACATGGGTTTCAGAAAAACAAGTATCTTTGCTTAATGCCCAACAGTTCTTTAGTAAACCACACAAACACACACAACAAAGGTTGCTCTAAATTCTTGTACAAAAAGTAAAATTTCTAATGTAGCTAGTCCACCATTAAGGAACATTTGGGAAAACAGTGTTCCCTAGTTACTGTGTGTGAACATCTAGGATTAAGGAATGCCGTTTTTAAAGATCTGCAATGCAAACTTTCCATTCCCTATCCATCTCTTCTCGGATAATGTCTGCCAAGTCATTCTGAAAAGTCCTGCAACAACTTGAGTGTCCGGATCTGCCCTCCAAGCAGTGCACTCCAGTGTGCGCGCCCAAGTCCTGGTCCCCAGGCAGTAACATCAGCTGGAGACTGCTGTGGCACTCTTGAGGCCCATGCTTCCCAATTTTCTTCCCAGGAAAATCAGGGCATAATGCAGTGACATGGAGCTGACGCACCACTGGGTTTTGTTGTCTTGAACTATTGTAATGATGTGCCTAAAAAGCAACCTATTTCACACAGTGTAGTTACAGCCACAGGGTCTCTGCTCAGGAAGAAGTTAATAGCTGTGGTAACTTAGCAATAGAGAGATCTTCCCAGTCAAGAGACTGGGAGATTATTCACCACTACTAACCGTAACAATCTTCTTTGTTCCTCTGTTACTTCAATCTCCAAAGGGGGACAGATGGAGGAGGACATTATTTTCTTCTTGCCACATGTGGCAGCCTCCTTCTCATAGGAATCTATGAATGAAACAGTTACAAATATCCCTCTTAGAACAGTCATGCAGACATTACCCTTAATGACCCTATGGTTTGACACATAATGCTCTGTTTGGATTGAAAAGTGACCACAGAATTCTTTCTCCTGGAACTTGTGGAGGACTGGGAATGTCACAGACCAGACATGTAGTCTCTGGGGAGGGCCTGGTTAATGCCACTTTGTTTTTTTCCCACCAGTTCCAAAAAAGAGTCACCCTAAATAGCAGAAGACTACTGGTATTTTTAGGTTAACTCACAGAGAGCCATTTTTCCACAGAATAATGTGATATGAGTGGCATTACAATAATATTCATTAAGCATTTCTCCCTTCAGTTTTTAACTATTTTCAGTACCTGGGCAAAAGGAGAAGAGTTCCTAGAATCCTCTTTGCAGGGACAGTGGGTATTTGTTGATGAAAGGGAAGGTCAATGATTTTCAAGTGCTTGATGGATGGCTATTGTGCTTTTTAACACTGAAACCAGTGGCTAATGACCATTATCCCTCTGCAAATAGTTTCAGAATGTCGAAAATGTAGGCTTTAAGCATGGTATTCAGCTAAAAAGGAACCAAATAAACTACCTACTTTACTGTTCATCCCGTGTAGATTCATCCCATCTTTCTCTCCTTGTAGCATAACCCCCTAATCTTATTGATTTTGCTCGATTTCCTATCCATTATTTTTGCTATCAGTCTTCTCGCTTTCTCCTTACGTCAGGACTATTTTAGTTTGATAATTCTGTGGGTAAGGATGTCTGGAAACACTGTCACAATATTCACTGCCAATACTCTTTAGTGCTACAAATACTGAATGCCTGCCCTCTCCCAGGGATCAGAGAAAAAAAAAAAAAAGAGATGTCAAGCAAAGTTCCTGCTTGTTCCATTCATCCCAAATTTATCCTCATTTTAAGTTAGTTAGACAGCTTGCTTTATAACATAGCTCTTTTTTGCACTTTGCTGAGCACTGAGATCTGTCCTAAGGCCAGCAGAATCCCCACCTGCAATAAGCTGCTCCAGGCGGATTCGTTCATGAGCTGCATGTTGATCCACCAAAACCAAGAGGTTTCCACCTAAAAATGTACCAGAAGAAATTACAAATAGTGAGCTTTACAGCACACAGCTGTGCGGGCTCTCCCCATAGGCCACATTTAGAAGGTAACTATCAGCCAGTTTTGCAGAAACGAAGGGAAGAGGAGGCTGCGTTAGCAGAACATGAAGTCACTACTGAACTACAATTCCATGATCTAAATGGGGCATTTAAATTAAGGGTAATCAAGTGAGTATGAACATTCTGCCTAATGACCTCTTCATCTAACTCAAGAATAAGAACTGAGGTAACTGACCAATTATTCTGCTTAATGCAGGCTTTAAAACATTATGAAACTACTGATTTTAAATGCTTTTTTTTTATACAGCTCCAGCAAGCTTCAGTAACGTCAGTGTCCAGGCACTGTGAACACAATCTGGAGATGTCAGTAATTTGAGTATAATCTATTTTTATAACACTAATCTGAAGGCAGTAGGAACATTCAACAATGTCCAAAGTAAAGAAAAAGAATATCCAGGAAATCTCAAATGAAGGCTAACATTTTTCCCTCTACACACAATATTAGCCTAAGGCATGAAGATAATACAAGTAGGACACTTCTCACTCTCCAGTGAAATGGCCCTTGAGAGCTACTACAATTTAATAATTAATTAATAAGTAGTTTTACCTGCTTTTTTATCCATTTTATTCCTAGTGTTGATTAAACAAGCAATAAATTTATTGTCCACTTGCTGAAGAACCTGTAAGATATTTAGATATTTAAATCACCACTCAATGGAAAAACAACTCTAAAATTTAACATCAGAAGACAATCAAAATGGATAAATCACAGAGAAGAGCTACTAGGATCACTAGAGAAGTGAAAATAACATATTATCAGAAATGATTAAATAATCCGGTCTAGCAAAATTAGGACTAATAATAAATAAGACTACTAATAATGATTCTTTATAAATACATTGGGGTAAATGTGGAATAGGGACAGTTATTAAAGCTAGAGTACACTGGATAAAGATCAAGTGACCATAAATTGGTCATAATCTGGAACCAAGAGAATGTCTCGAAGTGGCCAAGAAAATTATTATGGATAAATTTTTCAAACAGACTTGTAAGGGCAGGAACTTTACTTTGTTCTAAGATGGAGCCAGAAATTCACAGAATGGACTAAATGGTATTGTAGGAAGCTCATTGATTTAGGAATTAAAGCAGTGAGCAATGGCTCGGAGTATTTGATTTGCTGTCATCATCAAAAGAAAAATGCAAAAATAACCCATTAATTTGCCTTGTGTTTATGCTGCATTTAACTAAATCCATGGTTCATGGCTTCTGCTGACTACCACAGGAAGTAAGAAGCACTTTCTTCCTTTTATTTATTTATTTTATATAAAATTTGCCTCTGACAGTTGTTTCTACCTTCCCTGGAAACATCAGAAAACAACCAGAGCTATAGATAGAATACTGGGCAAAGATGTACGTTTTGAGTATCTAATAGACAGATATTTGTTTATCCACTAAAAGATACTAAGATCTGGCTTGATGTATATGTCTGGTGTCTTGTACCAATTAAGAAAAAAAAAAATCTATCTGAACCTGTGAAAATTAAGGTTATGAATAATCTCCCTGGATACCTCTTTCCTACAAAGCAGAAATAATCAGCAAAACCGATTTGCTGAGTGGGAATTTGGGGGTGAAAGCCTGTATTGTACCTGCATTGAATGAATCATGTCTTTGGTGAAACGATAAGGATACAAGATATTATGAATTTTCACAGCCAGATTCTCAGCCTGACTGCTGGTCACATCAACAGCAATCTGAAAAACAGAACAAATAAAACAAAACAAAAACCCACAGAATTAGATGAATAATTTATAGAATCAAATAGAATTAAGTATTCAATGGAGAATATGACAACAACAAAAAAATACTTTTAAGTAAAACCATTCTGGAAACAGCTCTCCTTGTATTTTGATAAACAGAGCTCTCAAGTAAGAATAACACAGCGCATAGACACTATCTGATAAATACTCTACTTTCATCCCTGTGTACTTTCCCATTTGGATATCACACGCTAACTATAACCTATCCAGCTAATTTCAGCAATCTATCAGACAATCACAAGTTCACTATCAGGCTGTGCAGACCCTGGGTGGGTTGCATTATATAGGATGCATTATCTGCAAGGACCCAGAGTACCTGTTTCTGTAATAACTGGCCGGGGTTGCTCCCTTCCAGGCACGCGCCAGCAGGTGCTTTGCAGCTCCGGCTCTATTGTTTGCAGGTGGAAATGGTTACATAGGCATGTTTACACACACACACACCAGGATGGTGAAAGATAAAGCTACCTCGTGACAACAAAGGAAGTCTTTCTAAAAGCTCCAACATTGTTCCCTTCTCACATGCTATAATCTTGCCAGGCTATAAAAACAACCACAGTAAAACACAGTTTCAAGACCCACTGGATTCCACAGAATAAAGAGGGGTTGTTTTTCCATGAAGAAGACAGGCACTACCTTACAATTTTGCCATCAGATAGCATTTTATTTTAAGATGACTATTTCTACTGAGGGAAAGGCAGTTTACAATAATATTTTGCTTTTCAAACAACTTAAGACACACAATTATCCAAATACTTTTTTTCCCTCTGAATTTGAATGAATCCACAAGAACGACTTATCTATAAGCAATCTATAAGTGATCTATCTGCCAAGTCTAGAGTGCAATATTTAGCTGAATAAATTAAAAGTAATAGTTACAATATCTGCAATTTTGGCCCCCATGTCAGAAAACAACAGGAGGATAAAATGACTTCTATTTTAGCATTAGACGCAAGATGATACTCGCCTCTGGGCAGCGAACAAAAACAGGATTATCCCATTCTGAAAACAATGACTGGAGCGACTCCCCTTCAGCATCTAGGAAAGAACATATAGATAATATAAGGACTAGCAACATTCAGAGCATGTTTCAACAGAAGGTAAAGTCCTGACAGCATTTTGGGTACCTCTGCCTCAAACCAATTTTATTCTATTTTGATTTCTCTTAGAAAAAGTGAGAAGGAAAGGTAAATAAAGGAGCAGGAGCTATTGCCTGTGTTAACCAAGAACCAGGAGACTACCCAGAGACCTAAGTGCGCTGCCCCACTGCTCAGCTGGCCCTTGAGTGAGGCGGGGAGAAAGGAACAAAATAAAATAAAGAAGGGACCTGTTTAGCTACGCACTCCCTCTGGACAAAGCCACATACCAAAAAGGTGATTTCATCCTTTCCAACACACACAAAAAAATGTTAGGATTGAAGCTATTTTTTTTCCATTCCAAGGCTGGAATGAGTACAAAGAAGGGAGTAGGTAATTATTCTTTAAACTACTGACATAATTCAACAAAGAGTTGGGTATTTCATCCTGTAAATAAGTACCCCCTAACCTGCCTTCAACCCTCAAAGATTTTTCTTTCCAGCTCTAGGTTTGAGATGACTCACATAGTCCCATTGTTAACAGACCTTGAGTAATTCTGGGTTCCTGTTGGGACATCTGGGAGAATTCTTTCATTTGTTCTTACCACAGTACACTGTGTTCTGGACAGCTGGCCCTACCTCTCAGATCCTGGCTTGCTACAGTCCTCTCTTTCCGAGGTCTAGGAAGGAAGGGTAGCACAATCTCACTTCTAAAGGGATGGCACCTGCACTGAAATCCTAAACACAATATACATTTTCTGTTGCAGATGTAATAGCATGCAAAATTACAAAAAGCTATACAATTATTATTAGTTTCTGATAGACGAATGTGTGCTTAGCCCTGAATAATTTAGAAAATCCTGCAGAATTTTCAGTCTAACACTGAGAAATAACAGTATGTGTAAAATGCTGAGAGCAATAACCAGAGAGCCTTGCACCAGGAAATTTCTTTTAATATGTATTAATATATCTACCCAGCACCATTACTTAGGTGACTGGAATAACTCTAGTGGCTTGACCAGAGCAGGTATTTTAAGCAAGGACTTAAATGAGGCCTAAGAAACCAAACATAAAAAGAGGAACCTTCCCAAATATAGTGGCACTCCAGGCCTATGTAACAAAGACTAAACACAGGCAAGGTCCGCTTACATTGTGTACTTAACATGAAGGGTTACAAAGCAATTTATAAAGAGTCTGACAAACATCAGGCCAAGCTTTTAAAGGCATTTTAGTGTCTTGAGTTACAACTCAAGGCATTCAATTGCATTTTCAAAAGACACTCTGTCTAATTCCTATTTATTTATTTGGATAGACCTATTTAAAACTGTCTCTTAGTGAATAAACTTTCCAAGTTAAGACTCAAAGATCAGTCTCACAGGTAAGTTAGATCTGCTCAGTACTTGCAAGGAAAAAATCCACAGACCACAAAGATGTAGAGGAAAAATAGTATTGCTGAAGTCATGCCTGAGGTTCCTCCTTCTCAGTAGGGATGAGGTACAATGATCAGCAAAGCAACTTAATCCAAATGCTCAATATTTCAACAAACAAAATACTCCTGTCCTTGGATATACCTGTTCTCTAAAGACTCCATATATTTTTAAATGTTCTCCAGAACAAATTTAAAAAAAAAGAGTAATCATATTGTTTCCTTAATTTCTTCTGAAAGCAAGTATAGGATTATCAAGGATTTTATTTTCTAAACTGTGTCTACATTTGTTGTGAAATCATTCTCCCTTTCTCTCCCTGGCTGTCAAATTCACACTCAGAGGCTGCTGAATGACCTCCCACTCATGTGACACTGATGCTCAATACTGTTTAAAGAGAGCAGCAGAAACTCCAGTGTGATTTTCTTTCCTAGTGACAGCAGTTAGACTAATGGATGCTGAGTTCATTAGCTAAATACCAAGCAATTTACAGATACTGAACAACAAATATCTTGAGGATAGCAGACATAACTGCACTTCTGCAAGACTTTCCTTAAAAATAAGCTGCTACTTCATCAGCATTATTGCCAGAATTTGTGCAAGCAGAAGCATTACTCCCAAAGGCAAGAGAAAGCCTGCAGGAAAGACCATCAGGTACCAAAACATTCCTGCCTTCCCTATTTTCAGCAGGGCCAGAACTATCAATCACCACCCTTGTCAATACTTAGAAATCAGGAACTTGTAAAATACAAAACTCCAAGCAACTGAGATGACACGAGATATCACAGTTAGCCTAACAACATGTTCTAACCCAACCAGAAATGACTTAATGACATTACAAACCTTCACTGTTACTGGAATTATTAAGAAAAGCGGCTAAGATTTCCAAAACAGTGGTAAACATTTCACCCTTCCTCTGGTACAACTCAGCTTTCTATTCTTTGTGAAATAATAATGAATTAATAAAGTTCCTTTCTACGAAGAATTTAAGGGTGTGCATTCAGGAAAAGCAGCAAAGGGATAAAGCCAAGGAAAACCAGCTGTGCACTGATAAGCTCAGTATGAAAAAGTTCTTTGAGGTGCTACGGCCAGTCTATCACCCCCTGGCTGGTAGCTTCAAACCAGTATGGAGCAGTGATGGCTCCTCTCCAAGGACTGGTAAGACGCAAATCCTTTGGTGAATCTTCTCAAGAATCTCAGCATGGGAAATTAATTCCCTCCCCAGTTACCACAGAGCCCAGCCACTTTCTCTTCCCCAGTAGACAAGACAAGATAGCCCAATGTGAACTGTGCTAAGTTGTGGCAAACTGAAGAATTCTACCTAAATAACATTTTGACAGAACTTTTATAGCTATTGCAATGGAAAGATATTATTCCACAAGTATCCGTCACCTACATGTGAAATTCAGTGCTTTATACATGTGATGAAAAAAAAAAAAATCCTACTTCTTGTTTCAGGTAGAATGCTTTCTCAGGACATATAATATTCATAAAGTTAAGATTTTCTTGTCCAAAAGCCAGGGAGAATTTAGAATAGAGATATTATTTATGTGATTCTTCTGACAAGTAACATTTTTTTTTTTTAATGAAAGCTCAAAAAGACCAAAATTTTTAATATGGGGCTACCAGCAGTAACACATACTTGGAAACACGACCATTTCAGACAAAAGGTAAATGCACACACATATATACACACGTATCCTTACTCTGATGCCTCTCATTTTATATAGGACAAAAATTACGTGTAATCACGTTCACAGCAAACGTCATGCTGCTCAGAAAAAAAAATAGCAGTCTTTTAATTGACCTGGTGTTGACATTTCAATCTTTAATTGAAAAATGTCCTGTAGTATTTTAAATGTAAATGTTTCACTGTTTTTGTAGTGACTCCAACACTCCTCTGTTTTCCACACAGCTGTTATATTTAAGGCAGTGGCTATTTCCACAAGAACTGGCAGGCTCTGCCAGCAAGATATTTCACTCATCTAGCAAAAGGCAAACTGTTTTCTTCATCCCTTTCTTACAACAACAAAACACACCCTCTTACCATTCTCTGAGACAACATTCACAGCCATTGTTGTTATATCTTTAGTGCAGGCAGCTTGAAACTCTTCCGCAGGGGGAGTGCTGTAAGAGCTCAGTCCAGTAGTTCTATTGATGTAGATCGTCTTACCTGACGAAACATCAAAATCTTGCAACCAGTCAGAAAAATGAGAGTCATTCTTGGCATCACCTGTCCTTGCATCATCTGCAGTGAATTCCAAGGAGCTTAGGGAGGTCCTACAGGGAACCTCAGCAGCATTCAGAGTTTGTTCTGTGGATTCACCTAATGCACTTTCCTCTGTAGAGATGACATTAGGATGCTCTTTTTTACCAGGTAATGATGAAACAGGGCTCAAGGAGACTGCATGCTCCCTTCTGGTGCTGCTAAGTGCTGGCTGGCTCACAGTACTGTCCATGGCCTCTGCTCTTGCACTGTCCAGTTGCCAGGGTGTATCCTCCTTAGAAAAGCTGAAATAGTATCTCGTTATTTTTTCCATGGTGGTTTTATACATTTGAGAACTCTTAGGCACACACTCATTATTTGAAGATTCAAGATTGAGTGAGTTGTTATCTCTCCTGCTGGAGTCCGTTTGCAAGCAGTCACCAGGTTGTTCTGCTTCTCTGCGGTCACTTCTCATTCTGGACAGTTTAGATGCTAATGAACCCAGAGATCTTGCACTACTCACAGTTTTTTTAGAAACCTGAGCACAGTCAGTCAATGGGAAAGGACTCTTATTCTGGGAAAGTGCTTGCCCACCCAGTACTGTATCTTTGCTGCTGAACAGAGTCTTTTCCAAAGAACCAACAACTCGGCTACTGGTATGAGAATCTGTGTATTTCAAACCTGGAGTTTCACAAATGCTCAGGTTACCGTGATTGTCATCCTGACTCTTTGAAGAGTCGGGAACAGCTTGTGAATTTAGAACAGTGAGACCGCATTCACGCTCCTCTGGCAGTGGTGTTGAGAGCATACACTCAGCCCTCCCATAGTATCTCCTGAACTTTTCTAAGGAACCAAGCTGCACAGACAAGCTCAGCTTCTTACAGGGCTGAGATCTTGGTTCACCCACTTGTTCTCCAGTGCTTTTCATGATTTTATTCTGAGGAGGAGCAGAAGATGCTGTCAATGCTTTAATGTTTGCTGTTACACACTGCCTTCTACCAGCTGCGCTAGGCATGGCTCTGTCCTCACGCAGCTGATTTGGCAAGGTTTTGTTCTCCAACTGCTTCTTTCCATCAGCCATGCACATTTCTCTGTTATAAGAAAGGGTATATTCTTTGTTTAGATTACTGGAAATATCCTTAACATTAAAAGAACGGGCTGGAAAATTCACCCTGTCTCCAAAAGTGTCCTTGGCACTGACAGGGCCAGGTCTAGCACGCGCATTTAATGCGTGACTTTTTTCTACTTGTTCACATTCATGTGGTGGCTTAGTTTGCACAGTATGTGTTGTAAGGCCTGCAGAAAACAGTTCTAATGGTATTGAATCAAGACCTCTTCTGCCAGCACCATTTGCCATTTCAACTGTTTCCTTGTTTCCTTTCTTTACATTACACATTCCCACCACTGAACTTCCAGTGAAAATTTCAGGTCCTGCTGCTGGTTCTCTAGGGTCTTCTAGTCTCTCATATGGCGAATCAGTAAAATCAGTACTTACAGAGTGGATGGTACTGCTTTCCTGCACTACCCCGCCTTGCTGGCTTCCCGTCTCTTTCACGTAATCCTCTGCACGAAGCTGCAGCTCATCACAGTCGTCTGACTCTATTTGTTCTGACCTGCCCCCTTCACCAAGACAGGAATAGAGCTTTTCTGAAGATTCGAGATCAGTATCACACACCTTTTGGGAAATGTCAGTATCTTTTGGCTCCTGTCCTGAGATTCCTGAAACACGGAGATAAGAAGCCTTGCTATCTTTCCTGGGCAGTGGCATCTTTGCTTCCTTATTCCTACATGTGTCAGGTGGATCAGTCATCACTCGATCGGGGGATATTTCAGTTTCCTTTGGATTTCCATTTGGCTTGAAAGAAGATGTTTTTCCACTCACTGATTTCCTTTTGACATCTTTGGATTGCAAGTTATACCTTTCATAGGAATCCACAATTTCATCACAAGCTTTCTTAAAACTATCTTGGATGCCTTTCTCATTAGAGATTGAAGGTTTCTGAACTGGGACACTATGCAGACAAAAGTCATTATCTTCATTAAATTCTCTGATGTCTTCGTTGCACGGTTCAATAAATAAATGCTCTCGTTTTAAAAACATTTTCACTCCTTCTTCAACGCAAGTTAGAAGCAAATCCCAGTTATGGAACTCAATTAGAGTTTTTGCAGGGTCGAGACACACATCATAGTCACTGTACTGGCACGTCACGCTGAGAACAAAGATTCCATACAATTCTGGGCCACAGCGATGGTGACCAGGGCTTGAACTAGTCTGTCTGCTAGCAGGGACACTTTTTGACTTGCAGATAACACTTTCTTTTCTTAATAAAAAATCAATTAGTTTGTGTATTCTTGTCTTTAAAACCAGTCTTCTGTTCACATACAAGAACTGCATATTCTTATTGTAATGTCCTTCAGAACTGATATAACCATTAAGCTCAAATCCTCCAGACTTATGGCTTATTTCCCGTAACTTCTGTGATCTGCCTAGTCCATAAATCTGACAAAAACGAGAATACACATCTCGTGTCTTAGGGAGCTGAAGCACCATCGCACAGGAGGCATCATTCCTTAAAGAGAGTGAAACGGAGGGATGCATCAGCGAAATAGCCTCCACTTTCTGTCTTACTCTCTCAAACTCCAGGGCAGGATCCATGCACTTCCTCCTCACCGGTAACTGATGGAACAGGTTGCACACGGTCACCGTAGTTCCACCACTCGGCCTGCTCAATTCAGCCTCACAGACTTCCAACGCTTGCCCGTTGTGAAACAGCTTCACAAAAGTCTTTGCCGCCCTGTTGGTCTTGGATGAAACTTCCACCACGCTGGCCATGTTTGCTATGCTTGCTACAGCCTCCCCTCGAAAGCCGTAGTATTTGAGGCTCTCCAAGTCCTCCACTGAGCTGCACTTACTAGTGAAGTACCGCTTTCCCATTTTATTTAAATCTTCTCTTCCCATCCCCGAGCCGTTGTCCACCACCTGGACCTTAAAGGCTTCCAGATCCACCCTGACGGCAACACACGTTGCCTTGGCATCAATGCTGTTGAGGACGAGCTCCTCGACGCACTGCCCCAGCGAGCCCACGGCCACTCCAGAGCGCAGCCTGGCTCGCACGTCCTCCGCCAGGCATTTGATCATGTCAAAAACCGGGCTGAGGACCAAGTCCAGAAACTGCGGCAAGCTCACTCAGCCATATCTGTCAAAATAATTCCCTGCAGGAAAGAAAGAAGAAAAAAAAGGGGGGGGGGGGCAAGTTATGGATACAAAATATCCTTTATTTATGGTACTCACCATGTAAATATACTTTTGCTTATTCTCCTAATTGTCAAAGGTCATTGTTATTGTCATTGTTATTCTCAAACTTGTCAAAAAATTGTCAATTTTGTCTGTGATGCTGATGTGTGCTTCCGCTGCGGCACTGCCTGCACCTCGGCTGCAGTCCCCCGGACGCCGGGCCAAAGCCGCAGGTCCCGTCGCTCGGTAGCTATGTCCTCATCCTACCCACCTCAGCCGCCCTGCCAGAACACCCGCCCGCGGCGGGAACCGCGGCTGACCCGCCGCCCCGCTCCCCTCTCCCTGCCCGGGGCGACGCGCGGTGCGGGGCTCCCCCCGGCTGGGAAGCGCCTCTCCTCGCCCCGCTCCCCGCGCCGCCACCGCCGGCCTGGCGACCGTTGTGGGGGCGGGGGAGGGGGCGTAGCGCGTAACGGCCGCGGCGCGAGACCAACCGTCGCGGGCCCCGTGCGGCCCCCGCGCGGCGGGGTGAGGGCCCGGCGCAGCGCGCCTGCGCGCCGGAGGCCTCGGCGGCCAGAACTACAGCGCCCATGATGCCGCGCGCGGCGCGGCGGGGCACGCCGGGAGCTGTAGGCCCCGCGCCCGCCGAGGCGCCGTTACGCGGTGCGGGGTCCCAGCGCCGCGCGCACCCGCCCGGGGGAGCGGGACCCCCACGGGGCCCCGGGACACCTTCCCTACGGAGCGGCACCGCAGCAACCACGCGTCAGGCCTGCAGCGCCTTCAACAGCCCGCCGCGACATCGCCATTCACCACAAAACACGAGCTCCGAGCACTTTTATTAAAAAGAAATAAAATAAATAAGTTTCTTCCTCTGTCGGTAACAAAATAAATCCCAAGCAGCGAGGATAACCCAGCTCCTCATTCCACCTGCCAGCACATCATCAGTGGTTGAGAGTCGGACAAAGCGCGTAACGAGCCGATAAATTAGGACAGCAATAAATAAAGCTCTCTACAGCCGAGCGTTAGCTGACCACAAAGGGAGCGTGAGGCTGGCGGTGCCGCGCGGGCGGCTCCAGCCGCTGCCGGCGGCGCTCCCGGCGCCGCTACTTGACAATCTGGAAGTCCTCGTGCTCCAGCGCCTCGATCTTCCTCTCGTTGCGGAACTCGGCCCTGCTGATGCGGGACTGGGGGCTGCCCGTGTTGCGGAGCCAGTGCTGCAGCTCGCGCACGCGGCCCGCGGGGCCCTGCAGCTGCCCCCGCACGCTGCCCTGGCTCGTGTTCTGCACCCAGCCGACCAGCCCCAGCCGCCGCCCCTCGGCCTGCGGAGAGAACGCAGCGTTAACGGGAGGCGCGGCCTCGGGGGGCAGGCCGCAGGGCTCTGTGGGGCCGCGCGGCGCGCACCTGCGTGTACTTGCGGAAGAAAACGCCCTGCACTTTGCCGAACACCTCGTACTCCACCGACACCAGCCCCTCGCCCGCCGCCATGGCCGCGGCTGCGCCTGCGCCTGCGCGGGGCCGCCCGCGGCCGGGGGCGGGGCCGCCCGCGCGCGCCGCAGCCAATGGCGAGCGAGCGCCCCCGCGGCTTTAACGGACTCATGAATAATGCATGAGGCGCCCCAACGGCTCGGCCCGCCGGGCACGAGGGGGCAGTCCTCCAGGGAGCGGGGCGGCCCCGTGTCTGCGCGCGTCACTTCCGCCCGCGGCGCCGAGCGCAGGGACAGCCTCACAGCAGAACCATAGAGAGGCCGCCGAGCGGCACAGGAAGTAGCTGGAGCGGGCCTGTCTCTAGGCAACGGCAGTCAACACAGTGTCCGGCGCGCGCGGGCGGCGGTAAGCGGCGGCGCGGCGCGGGGCTTGGAGCGGCTGTCGCAGCCGCTGCGCCGTGCCCGGGCGCTCCCCGGCGCCGCCT